AGTGTAGGCCAGTGCATGAAGGTAAGGACAAACATAATGGCTGAGAAATGTCTGTGGACAAAGAGAGACCAGGGCTGGAGAGCTGGATCAGCATTTAAAAGCACTGGCTGCTTTGCAGAGGACCTGGATTCTATTCCCAGCACCCACATGGTGGCTCACAACCATCTGGAACTCCAGTTCCTGGGAGTGCGATGCCCCCTTCTAGCCTATGAAAGCTCCTGCATGCATGTAGTACGCATACGCACATGCAGCCTCACACATACTCATATAAAATAAATTTTTGAAAGAAGAGATGAGCAGTTGAGTTAAATCATTGAACTTGTTCTTCCAGACAGAGGCAGAAAGATGGAAGCGGTACAAAACTAAATCTTTGGAATGATTAAAATTATCGACAACACTTTAAATATTCATTTGCTTTGATGTATTTTCATATGTCAGCCTCTTCATTTGTCCCATTGATTTCTCTAGACATCAGATCTTCAGGGTTCCCTCTGTGTTAAGATTAGTGGTCTTGGACTATAGGTGTAGTTCAGTGGTAGGTACTCAGCCTGTGCAGAGTCTCAGGTCCAATCCCCAGTGCCACAACACAAAACCAATGAGATGAATAAGTCCTTTCTCAGCTGTGACACTGGCATCAAGGCCCCTTTCCAAATGAAGATGAGTATGTATATGTCCTGGGACCCACCAATGAATTAGACTGCTGGCTTTACATTTGTTAACTTTCAGCACTCATTACCTGCTTTAAATGTGAGTATGTGCCTTGCAACAAATGAGTTCAAGGGAAATGCTGAGGCATCATCTATGGGGCTGTCTTCAAAGAGACAATGATACTCCGGAGGTGAAGGACAGGCAGAAGTGGGCTTTGGTTCAAACACAGGGGTCCTATTGACAGACTGAAAGTCCCGTGGTTCCCCTACCCTTGCATTTACCCACATTCCATCAGCTGCATTTCTTATTCCTTTAAGCTTCGTCTGTTCCAGTATCCTCTCCCTATCTGCGCACCTTTGCATAGCATTTTAGACTTGAAATAGTGGCCTGGCTGGGGGCCAGGCAGCATTAGACTGTGGGAGCACCTCCACTGACCTCACAATAACCATACACAGCATTTTCTTTTTCTTCTTGAGTTTTTCTTTGGAAACTGTCTTCTGTCTCCCCCCCCCCTTCCCCTCGTCTCCCTCTTCATTTTCCCCCTCCTCCTTATGTTCTCACAGGCTTGGTACTCACTGTGTAACGCAGGCTGGGCTGGAGTTGGCAGTGATCCCCCTGCCTCAGCTTCTTATGAACTAGGATTGTAGGCACGAGCCACCAGTGGCTGTCAACAATGTATTCTCTCTCTCTCTCTCTGTATATATGTGTGCATCTGCATGTGTGTGGGTTTGTGTGGGTAGATGTATACATACGCGAGTGTCTGTGTGTGTGTGTTTATGGGTACACACAGCTGTGTAAGCCAGAGGAGGCTGTGAGGTACCCCGTCTGCCCCCTCACTCTCTTTACTCCTCTGGGGCAGGGTCTCTCACTGAACCTGGAGCTCACTGCTGTCCCTCCTGCTGGGCTGTCTAGGCAGCAGACCCCAGCAGTCCTCCTGTCACTGCTCAACACAGTGTCGGGGTCACAGCCATGCACAGCCATGCTTGGCTCTTGTATGTTGGGGAATCCAGTCTCAGGCTCTCATGCTTCCTCGGTGAACTTTCTTACCTGCTAGACCATCTCCCCAGCACCTCTTTTTAATCTTTTTCTTTCTTTTTCTAAATTTGCTTTTCAGTAGGCAAGCCCCCTGGGCTACATCTCCGACTCCAAAAAAAGTGCTCTCTTCCCAATGGCTTACTAAAAACATTTGTCTTGTGTCTGAAGGCGCCATAGAGCTGCTGACTATATCCTGTAGTGATGGATGAAACATGAATTAAATCATTCGATAGAAAAATCTTACTGTGGCCTTTAAAAGCACTTTGTTTTATATATTACAATTGTGCCTGCATCATTTGTGTGGGAGCATCACACATGCTAGGATGTGTGTGCGGAGGTCAGAGGACAACTTTGTGGACTCAGGTCTCTCCTTCTACCTTTACTTGGGTTCTTGGGACTGAATTCAGGTTGTCAGGGTTTGAGCAGCAAACACTTCACACGCTGAGCACCCTCACCAGCCCCTGATGTGACTTTTGGTTATTGAGAAGTGGTATGCATCTGAGTATGGGACAAAAACGAAAGCTCGTGGGCTTTTTGGCTGGAGTAGACTAAGCTTTCCTTGTAATTAAGATGAGTTTGGCTTGCTCTCACATCAGTTAAGCCTAGGTTTGTGAATGGAACAGCTAGAGCCTGCTCGTCACCCGTGAGCACACTCAGGAATTGTAATCTACAAGACACATGCTTATTAAATACTTCTTAGGCACAAAATGAAGACAGAAACCTCTGGCCTTTCTTGTAGTCACAAATAGAGGAGATAGGAGACTTGTCTAACAATTTAGTCAGTTAAAACTAATGAAGTCAGGAGTAGATTTAGTCCACTGCTAATCCATAGAATCAATTTCAGAAGAGGATTTGACTCCTATTTTGTGCTGACTAAACTCTTGCTGAATTTGTATTGTGGTAGAAGTCATTCATAAGCTAGCATCTAACCTCTGCCAGCAAAGTGTTATTGCTGTTGGCGAGGAAGCCCGGGACTACCTGTTAATACCATACCTGTCTCACAACTGGGATGTGGAATACATATTTGCAAGTAAAAATTTGAGGCATGTTCCATTCTTCTTGTGAGAATGGCCCCCATAGGCTCATAGATTTGAATACTTGGTCCCCAGTTGATAGAACTGTTTGGGAAGGATTATAAGTGTGGCCTTGTTGGAGGAGGTGTGTCATTGAGGGTTGCTTTGAGATTTCAACAGCCCATTCCATTCCCTGTTAGTTTTTTTTCTGCCTCGTGATTTTGTCTTAAAATGTCTCAACTACTGCCCAACTTCCTGCCTCCTCCCATGCTCCCAGCCATGATTGTTATGGACTCTAACCCTTTGAAATTTGTAAGTCCCAAATAATTACTCTCTTCTGTAAGTTGCCTTGGTCATGGTGTCTTACCATAGCAATAGAAAAGCAATGAAGACAGAAGTTGGTACCAGGAGTGGGGCTTGAATCCACACAGACATATACACTGCATACCGAAGACCCAAATGAAGCCTTTTCTTTTATATGTTGCTTTGTTCGTGGTCGTATTACAGCAATAGGAAAGTAAGACACCCCTCACTTTACAAAGAAGAAATAACCATATGGTAACTTTACTGAAGGCTTTTGGAAACATGTAGTTCACCATGAACATGTAGTTCATGTCTTACAAAACAGACATTGTCACTTCCTGGTTCCTTCAGTTCTTGCTCACATAGAAAGTTGCTTTCTTATAGGAATCATACTGGTTTGTCTATTTGACATAGAGATGTTTCTGTCAGTATAAGACTTTTATCATAATTTTGTTTTGCTTTGTTTTTCAAGACAGAGTTTTTCTGTGTAACCTTCACTGTCCTGGAACCCACTCTGTAGACCAGGCTGGCCTTGAACTCAGAAATCTACCTGCCTCTGCCTCCTGAGTGCAGGGATTAAATGTGTGCATAACCATTGCTCAGGTAACTTTTATCATAATTTTAATGGCACTTTGTGACTCGTTAGCACTTACTTTTCATCTCAAGATTTTAGCAGTATTTGCTGTACTTGTTAACTAGTTCACATTAATACTCACATGTAATTACTTCAGTGCCATGTGAATATTAATATCATTAGTTTATACATGAGTTTTGCTCTTATATAATCCTGCATGAATATATATGCCATATGTGCATACATTATACATTTTAAAAGGTGGTGAAAATTTGTGCATAATTCAGAAGCAAGAGCAGAGGGGCCCTGAATTGATTTTATTCTATCTTGGATAACTGTTAATTCAGCCTTTAGGCTGCTTTTTTTCCGAGCATGTCATATTGTTTGTCTGATCTGACTTTTGATTGTGTTTTTCGAATTTGTACATGAAAATGGGAACAAGCACTACACAGAAGAAGGAAAGAGATGAATTTAATATCCAGTGGCTGCAATTTATATTAAAAGCCACCTCTTCTTAATAATAAATTTGTATGTACTGGAAATGGTGAGGAATCAAAATCATTTTGATAGCCTGTATCTCACGTGTGGTGTGTGTGGATGGTGTAGTGGTAAGTGTGGCTGCCCATATAGCACATCAGATGTTTAGGAATTCATTCTTCTTTGTTGGGAGTCACCATGAATTTATTTTACAACTAATACACAATTGGAGACACAGTAACACATGTTGGAGGAAAAGGTTCAAGCATAAGAGATAAGGAATCGTGACTGTTAGCTTTCCTAACAACTTGAAATACAGCAAATAGCAGTGAAATTTCAAGCTAATATGCACAGCCTTGGGGGTCATTACGCTTTGTTTGAATCCATGTGTATTTATGTAGCAGTGGTGCATTAATTTTGGCTCTTTTGGTTCCTCCCGTGTTTATCAATTTGTAGGTCCTTCAGCAAGCCATTCCTAATACCTGAGTAATTAAGGTTGATATTTCTAGTATTTAGACTTAGAGTGGTGTTCCTATGGTGCAAAACATATTTAGAGGTATTTTGGGGTACTTTAAGCAAAAAGTTGGTATATGAGATAGATGGGATACTGCATCCTCTTGTTCAGATAGAGGGCCTCACAGAGCATGCTTTGCTTCCATGTGTATAAAGCTTTAATTTTTGTGCCCCTGAGTTATCTCTGACAAACAACCCTGGGGGCTTCTCTCTATGATTACCTAATCTCCAATTACCCCTTGAGCACTCTTGGGGTCTGAGTGGGGAAGTTGGTTGATTTCCTGTGAGACATTTCACTGCGGCAATAGCCCCTGAAGCAAAGTGGGAAACAGTGATATTAAGGGAAGCATGTCAACTCTGGGGACAACAGAGCTGTGTTGCATTGTTTTGAGGGTTATTATATTCTTACCTTTCCTCTTTGATTGTTGTGTTTTCAGGATCTCCCTAGAGTCCTCTTTCTCCATCAGTTGTCGAAGCAGGAAGGTGCATGGACCATCCTTCCCTTGTTACCGAAGTAGGTACCTTTCACTAAAACAGTGTCAGCCATTGGCATTTGGGCCTCCACACTCTCGTACTCCTTAGGAAGCCTTTTCAAATTAAGAGGTTGTATGTTTCCTGAGATGCTCAGTGGAGTGAATTTGAATTTTATATTTTGTGATTACTGTATTAAGTATTTTTTTCATGATTTGCTCTTAATTATAATTAGATTTTTTGTTTTGTTTTTGCTTAGTTTCTTTTAAAAATGATTTAGTTTTTATGTTTTGAGTATTTGCCTGCTTGTAAGTAGGTGCACTACTTGCATGCAGTACCCACAGAGGCCGGAAGAGGGCCTTGTGTCTCCTGGAAGTGGAGTTAGAGATGGTTGAACACAGCCCTGTGGATGCTGGGACTCAAATTCAGGTCCTGTGCCACAGCAGCCAGTGTGCTTAGCAGCTGAGCCATCTCTCCAGCCCCATAGTTTTTATTTTTAGGTGTGTTTCTTTCCTAAATGATGAAATGCTTCTAGCTCATGTTTGAAATTGTTCCTCTAAACTGATATTGTTTTGGGCAGAATGAATTATAAACACTCTCACCATCTGGAGACCGTTAGTTCCTGGCTTTCCTGGCAGTTGAAGCTAAGACACAAAGCTGAGATCTGAGTGGACTATACAGAGAACAGCACAGTCTAGACACTTGCTTTCCCCTTCTCCTTCATCCATTTCCTAGATACCAGTTTAAATATCACTATAAACTCAAAAAAGAAAAGAAGAAAGAAAAGAAATATAGCTGGACAGTGGTGGCATACACTTTTAATCCCAGCACTCGGGAGGCCGAGGGAGGTGGATCTCTGAGTTTGAGGTCAGCCTGGTGTACAGAGTGAGTTCCAGGACAGCCAGGGCTACACAGAGAGACCCTGTCTCGAAAGACAATCTATTTAAACTCTTCTCCCACAATATGCAGTCTGTGTACCATGAGTCCGTGTGCCCTAACAAATTTCTTCCCATCAGCTTTTCTGTAACGTATAGCAAGAATTCAGCGTGGATCTTTTTCTTGGAAGAAGAGACGAGAATACAAATTCGCAGACTCCTAGAAACACTCAGGCGATATGACCCATCTAAGGTGCGTACAGCTTTGAAACCATGTTTTGACTTGGGGGGGCAATAATTCAGAGAAAAATGTGATTTTGATTAAGAGTCATTTGAAATAACAGCTTGATTTCTGAAAGCTGTGTTGTAAAATCTCTGAGGTTTATAGCTTACAAATAACATGAACCATTTTGTGTGGAAAATGTATATTTATATGTGTTAAAAACATAAGGAAGTTAAAAGCAACAACAATACCCTTTTAAAGTTACCAACTAGTTTTCCATAGGAATAACATTAAATAAACTGCTTTTCCCCATCAGAAAGGGCACACATATAACATACAGAACTAATTTTATTTATTCATGGTTGGTTTTATCTTATATGGAGGGATGTTTTGCCTAATGTCTGTGTGTGCACCATACACAGATAATGCCCACAAAGGCTAGAACAGAGCATCAGACTCTGGTGGTGTTACATATGGTTAGAAACCCTCATGAGGGTGCTGGGAAACAAACCCAGGTCCTCTGTAACAGCAACAAGTGCTTTTTAAACCACTGAGCTGTCTCTCTACATCTCAAACTGAAAGACATTTTGATGTCTTAAGATTCTAGGTCTGATATCCATGTACCCAACTCACAACCTGGTCACTTTGGACAAGGGGACTTTGGATCCTTCCTGGTACTCATAGGAACTGGCACCATCCACCCAAAGGCTCACTCCAGACAGGAGTGTGCGTGTCAGATGTCTGGGGGAATGCAGGCTGTGTGTTCTGGTTCAGAATTAAAAGCTAGACAACACCCATCATGAGATCGGCTTCCCAAACACTGCATAGTGCCTTACTGCAATGAAAAAACAAAAAAACAAAAAACAAACAAACAAAAAAAAAAAACCCACTGAGTTTCATGCCATTTATGTGTTGGAAGGAGCCATTATGATTTCTTTCTGTTGCTGATTTCTGAGAAAGCCACAGCTACAATGCATGGGAAGGCCATTAGGTGGGAGAAGTTAGGAATGTGTTTCCAGATGATGCTGTGGGTCTTGCTGCTGTGTTTAATGCACCATTTGGGAGGCTTTTGTTTCCTCCTGACTTGAATGTTGGAGTTCTAGCCTCTTTCTTGCTGTTCATGTCACCTGAAGGCTCTTGTCCCATTACCCGTGGTTCTAATTCTGTTGGGAGATGGTGACTCACAGTGTCTTTTTAATGAAAATTGGAGTGATAAATGGAAAAAGTTCAAAGCAAGTTCACGGGAAGCAAGTTCAGAACGGAGCCAAAGGCAGACATTTGCCCTTCCTTTCTGAATGCTGCAGTCTGGAGAAATGAAAACGCTAAGATGTTTTATTTCTTTTGAAAATAGCATGACGGAATATAGATGACATAATGTTGAGGTCAGATCAAACGGGTGGGGGCTTTTTCCTTCTACTGTTTGAAATCTTAGGAGAAAAAGAAGCCAATACTGACATAAAAAAGCCATATCAAGATAAAAACTATACCATGCATCCGGAAATTGGGTATTTTGATTCAGATACTGTTTTCCTTGCTCTCAGTCATTCTTACAAATGCAAACTTGGGCTCTTGTTCAATGTTTTAAATACACGAGTTGAATAGTTATTGAAGTAATTGATCTTAGTTAAAGTGCCTCCCTAGCTGGTTTCTGCAAATCTCCATCTTGTTTGAACCGTGTCTTTCCCACTCCATAGTATGCTTTTAATATCTGTACATCTGATGAGGCATATTAACTTTGATTTATTTTTAACAGCAATGAGGCGTGGTGCTGGTTAAAAGTAATCCCTGTAGAATATCATCAGTTATCTTTCCAGTTTTATCTTTTTATTATTGTTCTTTCCATGAAGCCACTTAAGAGAGCCCTTCATTAGGAGGGAAGATGTATGGTTCTTCCCATAGTCTCCATGGCTTCTTCCTTAAAATAGTTTATAACCTCAATAAAAATATTAATAGACAATCATATGTGCTTTATAATAGCTGGACATTGCAATGAGGAGATAAAAATGTGATGGAATGTTTTGCGTAAGAGTGTTGTCGTCGAAGGTTTAGTAGTGAAAGGTGAGTGGGGAGGGGGCGTTGTGCAGAGAATGGGGCTTCCAGATCTGGGCTCAGCTCTTCCTGCCCCACCTGCCACGGTTCTCATCTGACACCTCCCATCATTTGCTATGCGCATGTCTCCTGTGTTTGCTCTTTCTCGTGGCTGTGGAGATTGAGCCAGGCCATCCAGTGTGGCTGGACGGCAGTTTCTCATTGCACAGATAATATTCCTCTGGCTGCTAGAGTCTAGCACGGGAAGCCCAGCCCTGTCCGGCTGCCTCTTTTCTGTCAGGTTTCCCATACCTACTATATGCCAGATGCCGGGCTTTCTTACCATGGGAGGTTTCAACTCCCCCACACCAGGGACTTCACCCTGACATTTACTGTTCTTTCCCTGATCCTTCTTTTCACTCAGGCTTCTTGAAGTCATTTCACCACTGTCCGTTTCCCTCTCTTCCAGGGCGGCCTAACCCCCATCAGTTGTTGCCCTCACTTTAATTTCCACCCCTCTGTATCACAAGCCACACCCCTGCTTATTGCAGGTCCTTGATGAATATTGAGTGAATGAACAAATGAATTGGTTCTGGATGGAAGTTTTCAAAGATTTATTGAAAACCTCGGTGGTTGGTGCTGGAGAGATGGGTCAGTGGTTAGGAGCACTGTCTGTTCTTGCAGAGGACCCAGTTTGAATCCCAGCATCCACATGGCAGTTCACAACCATCTGTAACTCCAGTTCCAGGAGATCTGACGCCCTCTTCCGACCTCCATGGGCACTGCATGTGTGTGTTGCATATATACACACACACAGGCAAAAGACTCGTTCACATAAAATAAAAATAAATAAATCTTTTATATTCTTCTGTGGAGTAGTCTACAGAAATACCATTCAGGTTGGCAAAAGGGCTAAGGGGTAAAGGCACCTGTAGCCAAGACTGTCTAAGTTTGTCCTCTGATATGTACATGTGTGCATGCCCCCTCCCAAATAATCTAAATAATAAGGCAGTTTAAAATTAAGAAAGTATTCTTATATTTATGGCACACACAAAAGTGTAGGCAGTAAGACAAGTTTTGAAAATGAAAAAAATTATATTTATAGTATAACGATGGTTAGTATTTTTTCACACTAATGACCTGGTCTTGAATTATTTTCTTAACTATACATATTATGATAGATTTATCATACTTCTGTTAATTATATTTTTATTTGGATTCTGCAGAAATATATAACTTATGTGTTGTCTGCCAAGATATTTTAGTTAACTAAATAGTCTAACTTTAATATTTTAGTTAATGAATTTTGGTACTATAGCGTTGTTTGCAATCAAGATTAAATGGCTTTTTGAAAACAATGATATTTTATCTTTTTATTTAACAGGAATGGTTTTTAGGAAAAGCATTGTACGATGAGGAATCCACCATCATTCACCATTATGCCTTCTCGGAGAATCCTTCAGCCTTTAAATATCCCGACTTTGCTGCTGGCTGGGCCCTTAGTGTTCCACTTGTAAACAAGTAAGAGCTTATTAGATGTTTTGGGGAGTATATTATGTCTCTGAGGTTTGTTACTGATGATTCGTGGGTTTTCAGATGAGTTCCTCAGCCAGAGGTGGTCCACGGGAGTGGAAAAAGTGACAGACAGGAGGGTCTTGCCTCAGCTGGATCCCTTGCGAAGCCCTGCAGACATATCACTCCCCTTCTGACTACTTCCTAGGTAGTTTCTGGCAAAATAAAGTGACTAATAAATAAGTCATGAGACTAAGCGAGGGTACCAAAGGGCTGGAGAACGGAGTCATAACTATTGTGCAAGGCCTTTGATCACCAGTAAGAAAGTGAAACAGTGACTTGCAGGGATTGGAGAGGATGCTAATTAAGGGAATGAATATGCAGATGTAGCACAGGCCAGGCTCAGACCAGCTCCCAAAGGCAACCTGGGCAATCATGTCTAGCTCTAGCTGTTTGTGTGCATAGCCACAGCAAGGCACACGCAGTTGTGGCACAGAGAGTGAAGGTGACTGAGTTCAGCTGAGGAGAAACAAGGCTGTCCTCAGGTCTTTGCTAGCTTATATTAATTATGTATCTTTTATTCTTTGGAAGACCCTTAGGAAAAACATCTGTGAACTTTCTATCTTTAGAGATGGAAGGATTTCTCTAATTTTTCATCAAATGTCCTCATTTTAGGATTTGGGGTCTTGAAAGTGTTTGGGGTAGAGGAACACATACATGTGACTTCACAGCTGTCCTAAATATCTATCCACATTTGGTAGTTTTGTGCACTGTAATTTTCCTCTGCCCAGTATAGATTCCACAGCTGCCCCCTTTATACGGGGGTGTAGCTCAGTGGCAGAGTGGTTATCCGGCCTGCACACTTTTAATTTAAATCGGAGTGTGTTGGCCACTTTTCTTTGTGGCTGAGAACAGATGAGGCTGAATGAGCAAATTTATCTGGAACCATGATTCTCCATCTTTCTGGGGGTTACATGGAAAATTTCTGAACTTCTGTGACTAACGCTAGAGCTTTTCAATTCAATTTAGTTTTTAAGTGACACATAAAATTATATACACTAATGGCTACGTACAGTGCTTCAGGACATGTTTCAGTCAGTCTGTACATGGGCCAGGGAGATGGCTTGGAGGTTAAGAGCACTGACTGTTCTTGAAGAGGATCAAGATGTGGTTCTCAGCGCCCATGTATAGACTCACAACCATCTGTAACTCCAGTTCCTGGGGATCAGATGTCTTCTCTGGTTTCCTCAGGTAGTCACTGTATGCACATGGTACACTTACATCCATGCACACAAAACACTCATACACACAAAGTAAAAATAAATAAACTAGGGTATACACATTTGTCGTCTACATATCATTTATGGTGAGAGCACCAAAAATCCTTTCTTCTAAGCTATTGGAAATGATTACAGTAATAATTATTAGTTTTCATTTGGAAAGTTCATTTTTATATGTTTTATTAAAAGGTTTTGCATGTGTGTATAGTGTGTGTGTGTGTGTGTGCGCACATGTGGGTATATGGAGCCCATTGGACCCATCTGTGGATGGAGGAGACAGCCAGGTGCAGCTTCCATAGTGTCTCCCATCTTCTCTTCCAGCCAGGTGTAAGCACAGTTCCTGTTGAGATAGGAGAGAACTCAGGGTTTCATTGTGGTAGCTGGGTATGTAGGCATCTTAGTCTGGCCTGCTATAACAGAATACCACAGACCAGGTCATATAAGAATGCCTGAGAGTTTGGATGTAGATGGATTTTTCTTCAGGCTGCCAGCTCACAAAAAATTGACATGGAGACTTATTATTAATTATGAAAGCTCCACCTATGGCTTAGGCTTGTCCCACAAGCTCTCATAACTTAAATTAATCCATTTATATTAATGTGGCTTTTTACCTCTTTTCCATCTTGCACCTCCTGTTTTCTCTTCATGGCCTCTGGCATCTCTCTGGCGTCTAGATTTATTTCCTCACTTGTCCTCTCTCTCTGCCTGGAAGTCCCTATCCTCTCTTGCCTAGCTATTGGCCATTCAGCTCTTTATTAAACCAATCAGAAGGTGCCTTGGCAAAGACACATCTTCACAGTGTTCAAAAAGATTATTCACAACATTTGGAGGCCAGGAAATTTCAAGATGAAGGAATTTGCAGTTTCAGTAGCTGGCAATGCCTGCCCTCTAGTTTAGTGCTAACGCCTTCTCACTGGGACCCCTGAAGAGCACACAGCTCCCTCAGGCTGCTTTTGGATGGCTTTGGACCCCTTTATGATGGCTACTGACCTCCCCAAAGGTGAAAGCTGCTCCTCCTAAGAGGACTTTTATATATTCAGCATAGGAATATAAGAATGCAAATGTTCATCAAAAGCTGCAGCCAACTATGGCTAATGGAATTAGGGTCAAGAGCCTGGTTTTTTTTTTTTTTTTTTCAGAGTTCAAAAAGCTCCCAACATGCCCCTGTAATTCTGGTACCAGGTGACCTCCGCATTCAGTGTCATCTGCTTTTTACCACACTGAACAGTGATGAACAAATGAGAGCATTAGTCAATAACTGTGGTCTTCTCCCTCCCTTCTGCCCACCTTTTCTCCTGTTAGCAAAAACAGTCAAGTGAAAAAAAAATATAGACTTTAGCATAGTAACAAATCCAAACTCTGGTGGTTTAGATTATATTTTGCTTCCCTCTGGTGCAGGCAAGGAATAAAAAAAAATTAAGATAATGAAGCCCACAAGATTTATTAAACAATTATTATTAAAGCTTGCTTCCTCCCTCCCCACGTGTGTGTGTGTCTGTGTGTGTGTGTGTGTGTGTGTGTGTGTGTGTGTGTATGTGTGTGTTGTGTTGATCACTTGCTAAAAGCAGCTAATAGTTTGGAAGCAACCTTAAAGAAAAGATCTATTCACTGTAAATGTTGGAAGCAGTGGGTATAGGTTGATAACATCTGTTTGTGATTTTGAGTTCTATTCTGGGTTAGTAAATTTTCCCCTATAAACTCTGATAAACTTTTGATTAAGGGGCTGGAGAGGTGGCTCAGTAGTTAAGAGTACCCGCTGCTCTTTCAGAGGACCCTGGCTTGGTTCTCAGCACCCATGTGGCATTTCATAGCCATGTGTGATTCCAGTTCCAAGGGATTCAGTGCCTCCTTCTGGCCTCCCTGGGCTCTGCATGCAGGTGTCACACAGACATACCTGCAGGCAAAACATCCATATAAATAAAATAAATACGAAATTTAAAAATTAAGAACAGATGTTCTCCATTCCTTTCCCTGCAGTGTTGAATATATGTAGAATAGGCCCTTTGTTAGAGACAGACAGACAGAATTCGTTTGGGCTTGCTCTTGGTCTAAAGTATGTGAAGATGGCAACTCTTGTTCATCGCCACACTCAGGGATCGTGACAGTGTTTGTCCTGATGGGCTAGTGAGGAGCTGACTTTCAGGGATGGTTCCTTAGAGTTGTTCTTAAAAATGAAAGGTTTGCTATGTGAAGCCTGGAAAGAGAGGACTGGATGGGGCAGGGAGGGGTGTGTTCCAGGGAGCACATGGGGATTAAGACTCTGGACGCTGGTGGAAAGCAGAGCCCCCCTGGGCCAGGCGGGAGTATGGAGCTCTATTCCTTTTAGGAAAGGAACCATGAAGATGTTTTTAAAGAAAAAAAAGTGTCTTGAAAGAAAACTGGCATTTTCCTTCCAAACCCAGTGTACACTCTTACCTTAAAACTTGTATTTTTATCTGTTTTCAACTATTAGAACGTCTCACAAATCTGTTATCTCTAAAAAACTAAAATCAAATGTCTCTATTTTCTAGGCTTGCCAAGAGGTTAAAGAGTGAGCCCCTGAAGTCTGATTTCACGATAGATTTAAAGCATGAGGTATGTCATGATTTGACTAAGACATAGTGGTCAAGGAGGTGCCCCTTTTGTTGGGGGCGGGGCTCAGTGGTTGGGGCAGGGCTCAGTGATTGGGGCGGGGCTCAGTGGTTGGGGTGGGGCTCAGTGGTTGGGGTGGGGCTCAGTGGTTGGGGTGGGGCTCAGTGGTTGGGGTGGGGCTCAGTGGTTGTACACACAGCCTAGCTGGAAAGTTCACGACTGTTGTCACTAACTCTGTGCCAAAGAAAAAAATAGTCATGTATTTTCATACAAAAGTCGTGGTTTAAATTTTCTATCCCCTTTCCTCACACAACCTCGTGTTCTCCCCACTGAGATGATGTCACAGCAGTGGGTGGAGAAGAAGTGGGAGTTGGTGGGGGAGGTTGGTTTGTGATTCTTTGCTTTCTTAGGTAAGTAGATGAGTCCGGAGGTGAATGTTTAAAAGCATGCCAAAACATCACAGAAAACCTCCCTCTATTGCTTGGTGCTTAAGCACTTGTACCCTTCCGGACTTTGTGACATTGGAATTGGACCAGGAGCATCGCTGTAACTGGGAGTTTGTTTATGTTGGTATATGCAGCTCTAGCCAAGGGAGTGTTACTTACCACGGTGCTCTCTGTCTCATTCTTTTTTTAAAGATTGATTTATCTTTATGTATGAGTGTATGAGTGTTTGTCTCTGTGTATGCATGTGTACTGTGTATGTACAGTATCCACAGAGGCCAGAGGGGGCATCAGATCCCCTGGAACTGGCAGGTCTGAGCCACCAGTGGGTGCTGTGAATTTGACCCAGGTCCTCTGCAAGATCAGAAAGTGCTTGTAAATGTTGAGCCATCTCTCTAGCCCTATATAGTGGTCTCTTGTATTAACATAATATTATTCTTTCTTGATAGTGAGTGTCTGCTTGGCTCCTGGTTTTTCATTATGGTAATCATTGTTTCTATGAATGTTTTTGGTATGTGCCACAACTACCTGTGAGGTTCTCTATTGCAAGGTAATTTAAAACTCTTTTGAACTGCAACTTAACTTTAAAAAATACATTTTTTTTTAAAAAAAGTGGAACAGAAGGCTTAGTTTGTAAAGCACTTATATAAGCATGGGGATTTGAGTTCAGACCTCTAGCACACACATAAGAGCCTGGTACAGCAGCCCAGCTGTCATCCCAGTGCTGGGAAGCAAGGACAGGCAGATTCCAGGAGCTCAGCTCCAACAGGCCACACCTCCTAATCCTTCCCAAGCAGTTCCAGCAGCTGGGGAGCAAGCATCCAAACAGGTGAGCCTGTGGGGACAGTTCTCATTCACTCCACCACAGGTATTTCTAGCAAGTCAGCTACTGGTTGTTCTGGGTACCAGACTGTGGTGTTGTATCCTTGTATCAGTTTCTGTGCTGACTTGGCTCGCCTTCCTCAAACTACTTCCTGTCATCTTTACAGTTTTTTTCTTTCATGGTTCATTTTGTTTTGCATGATTCATGGTTAACTGTTTATTGATTATAAAAGATCAGATCAATCTATGTGGCATTACCATTTTTTTTTTTAAACTGGGGGCTACAGGGAATTGTTCAACGTAATGCCTTTTCTAGGTGTATCCTGCTGCCCCTTCGGACATTTTGTACCTTCCTGTATTTGTTATTTTTCTTTAGTGTAACAGGAATAAATAAAAGGATCAAAAGACTGATGTTGGGGTTCAGACTCTAAGCTGAATATCAGAAAAGCAAAGTAGCCAACCACTAGCTCTCACCACTACCTCAGGCTGAAAGGTCTGATCTATGCATGAGCTCTTCTCCAAGTCTCAAACTGCTGCCTCATCTCAGTGTGGCTGGAGAATGAACTCCTCTCTGAGACGTTGCTTCTGTCTTATATACTTCCCTATTGTTGGGATTAACTCTTTTAGACTGATTCACTCATGTAGCTCTGGGTGGCCTTGCACTCACAGAGATCCTTGTATCTCTTAATCCTGAGTCCTAAGATTAAAGGTGTGTACCACCACCTCCTGGCTTCTGGCTGCTGGGATTAAAGGTGTGTGTGTCACTGCTGCCTGATTACTGTAGCTTGAGGCTGACTTTGCTTTCTGAATCTTCAGGCCAGCTTTATTATATCATAAATAACATATCACTACAGTTTAGCTCTTTCTTCTCTGCAACTCTCTTGTCTTGAGACAGGTTGCCCTCTACATCTGGGACAAGGGTGGAGGCTCTCCCCTCACTCATGTGCCTGAGTTTTGTACAGACGATGCTGGCTCCCACTGTGCCACCACGTTCCATTCTTTTCTGCCACTTTGTGTAAGTAAAAACAGCAACACTTCCTTGTGGTTCAAAGGAAAATGCACATATTGTGTGTATAACATTTATGTGTTGTGGACATAACATTATCCTACTAAGTCACTCACTTAAAAATAAATCAGCTTTTGCTCTGAGCCTGGCCACAGCCATATGCCATATGCCTTATAGGTAAGTGCTGTTGCTATTCCTATCACCTATATTGAGATGAGAGATGCATGGAGAGTTAGTGTTCCTGGATCCAGGTCCATCTGCTTACCACTTGACAGCCAGCACCAGGGAGATAAGAGCCGTGGGAAACAAATGGATCATTTAAGACTAGTGTACTAGAAGATGGGAAGTGTTGTTTCCCAAAGAGACTGTCTTAGAGAACATAGACATGAAAAGGCTTTTGTGGGGAAGGAGGTGCAGAGGGTGATGGGCAGGGGAAAGAGGTTCAGGGGACACTGGGCAGGGGATGGAGGTGCAGGGGACACTGGGCAGGAGAAGGAAGTGCAGGGAACACTGGGCAGGGAAAGGAGATACAGTGGGTGATGGGCAGGAATCTATGTGTACTTAGTAGGGCCTTTGTCATAAAAGGTCCACTACTCAAGGCTCCAAGACCATTACAGAGCAAACAGGATTTATGTCTAGAAAGACTAGTTGCCCATTGGGGACTGCAAACATTACAGATCTCCTCTGTTGTCACGCTGTGGGGGGAAGGTCTGTGTGTGTGTGTGTGTGTGTGTGTGTGTGTATGTGTGTGTGTGTGTGTGTGTGTGTGTGTGTGTGTGTGTGTGCTCTCATCATGGACCTGAAGACTCTGGAACTTACTAGTAAATATATTTTTCTTGTGAGGGAAAATGCATTCACCAACCTCATTCAGTGTGTATGTTTTCAGCTAGTTGTGGGAAAGGCTGTGTGTCCCATCTGCCCCTCTGTCCTTACCCCTTCCTCCCTGTTTTTCCCCCTCTCCTCCCTCCACCCACCCACCCTCAGCCACAGCTCATTAACGTTGCTTTCCTGAGCTGCTCCCAACTATCTCACAGTCTTTTCTATGCTTTGTGTTTAAAGAATGAGGAGGTGAGCCGCACATTCTGAAGGTACCCGAGGGTTGCCAGATGTTCTGGAAGTCTAAAGATGCCGTAGCCGTTAATGCTCTTAGTCACTTAGGTGTGGCTTTTCCAGGCTTAGAAAGCCAGGGAAGGGAAGCTCCAGTCAGATCCGTTGAAGGAGCAGCACCGCAGTGGCGGGTGCTTGGAGAAGGCTGCCTGGCCAGAGTGAGAACAGAGGGCTGGGTTCAGCACCCTCTGCCCATGTCATACCCTTTGTTGGTATGTGTGGTGATGGGAATTTTTGTTCCACTTCTTAGAAAGGCGAGTGCAGGCCTTTTCTGTGACGCGCCCTGCCTGTACCACTCTTCAGCATGTGACCTTGCTTTTGAGTTCACCTGGGACAATTCAGAACTCACACAGGACACTAAGTTTCCATGAAGACCTATGGTCTACTGCCACCATGGGCCTGGAGACTCTGAAGTTTAGTAGATTGTTAATCCCTCCTCCTTTTTTTCTTGTCAGAGAAAATACATTCAGCACCGTCATACAGTGTGTGTTGTTCTCAAACCAGTTATGGAAAAGGCTGTGTGTGCCATCTTAAAAGGTATACACACACACCACGGTGTGGCAGTGGGGGTGGGGTGCCTGTAATCTTTGCAGTTCCCAGTGGGCAACTGGTCTTTCTATACATAAAACCTGTTCGCTCTGTAATGCTCTTGGTGTCTTGAGTAGCGTGGTAGAGCTGGGGTACATCACTATGAACTAACCCCAACTTCATGGTGGTGTCACCATGGCTGTTACTACAGACTGAAGACAGTCAAGTGGGGGTGTTGTGGTTTGTTTTTTCTGTTGCTGTGATAAACTGTGACCAAAATGAAGTCAGGGAGGAAAGGGTTTATTTGGCTTACACATCCTGACCACCACCCACCACTGATGATAGGGTGCTCGAGGCAGGATCCTGGAGGCAGGAACTGAAGCAGAGAACACGGAGGGACACTGCTCACTGGCTTGCTCCCCATGGCTTGCTCAGCCAGCTTTCTTATAGAACCCAGGACCATCTGCCCAGGGAGGACACCACCCACAGTGGTCTGGGTCCTCCCCCATCAATCTGTAATCAAGAGAATGTCCCACAGACATGCCCAGAGGCCAGACTGATGGAAGTGATTCCTCACCTGAGCATCCTCCTTCCCAGGTGACTCGAGTCATCCACAAAAACTTTAAGCAGTAAGTGGGGCCAGCACTCCAGCCCCCAGGAAGCAGCTGAAGTCCTTCGGTATGCATGGTCATCAAATCCCTCGGGGGTCTGCTTCCCACCTGTGTGACCTTGCTCCCACCAGGGGTGTGAAGCAGTTCTCTCTTTAGCAGAGGACAAAGCAGCCCTGGCCTAGACGAAATAAATGACAAAATAAAGAGATCATCCATGGCTTTCGGTGCCAAGCATGGTCACACCTAGAGAAGCAGATAGCTCCCACTTACATATGAAGTCATCCTTTGTCTTCTCCCTTTGTCAAAGTCTCTGCCAGGTGAGAAAATGAGGAGAGCGGCTAACATTCATTAGTTACCTACCATGGGCCTAGTGAGTTAGTAGTGGCAGCAGCCCCTTGGCGGTTCTCATTCCTGACTCCTAAATGACAAGATGGAAGTTCAGAGAGTTTAAGGGACTTGTTTGTATGACTCATAGTCTGTAACTGCTGAGCTGGGATGCAGGTCCAGGGCTGGGCTGGGATGCAGGACCAAGTCTAAGCTGGGAAGCAGGACCAGGGCTGGGCTGGGATGCAGGACCAAGGCTAAGCTGGGATGCAGGACCAAGACTGAGCTAGGATGCAGGTCCAGGGCTGGGCTGGGATGCAGGACCAAGGCTGAGCTGGGATGCAAATAGTGCTGGGCTGGGAAATAGGTTTGGGGCTGGACTGGATGTAGGTCCAGGTTCAAGCTGGGATTCGGGTCCTGTGCTGGTTGACTCTAGAGCCTTCATTGTCACTTTCCATACACATTCCCTTTCTTCCCTAGAACTACCATAGATAGATTAGATAGCTATGCCATGGATTAATTTTAACTATAGTTGTAAGATCTCCTATGGGCATGAAGTGTAGATAATGCTGACACACAGATGTATATAATTTTTTTTTCTTTTCTCTCCCCCCCTCCTCTTTTTAGGGAACACCAGTGAGTAAGGAGGAGATTTTTGTTGCAGTGAAAACATGCAAGAAATTTCACGGTGATAGAAGTATGTTTTGCCCTATTCATTTTTCTTGAACTTTGAAGATCCAAAATGTCTTTGAAACAGTGCAGGCCAGGTGCAAATTCAAGATGGGTGATTATGATAGTGGAAGCTGAAGGGAAAGTGACTATTTAATCAGGGTTCCTTGCTGGGCCACTCCACTCCCTGGGAGATCACTTAGGAGAGGCAATTTTGTATTGACGCATGGGTGCGAATAGATCTTCTAAATATTGTTGAGATCAGCACCTTAAATTGAAAATGGGAAACTCAGCTGTGTCAGCCTTGGGGCAGTGTGTGTGGGTGGGTGACATTCTGTTCTGTAAAGGGTCCCACTGTGTGCAGGCTCAGTGGCCAAACCGTATGGAAACTACCAGAGGGGCTTCCAAGGTAATACTATCCCAATAGAGAATATCCCCTTTATATTTATTTCACATGTACACACTGGCACTTTTTAATGAAGAACATGGATTTTCTCATTGAGTGTTTGTATTGGAAAAGAGAAACAAAACAAAACAAAACTCACCTTAGAAACAATGGCCCAATGTACGGAACCCCCAGTGTGCAGATAAATGTTGTTTTGTTTCATTATAGAATTTTGCTAGTTATGAGGACAATGCTAGAAGAAAAGACCCATCCTAGATATAATTGGCACAATTCCTCTTTTCATGTTGCATTTGAATCAACGCGTTTTGATGCTCAGAACAAGACATTCCTTTGCATGATCTGATTTTAGCACATTTTATGTAGACTGATTGCACAGGGTGTCATGTGTATGTAGGAAGCTTCCTAAGGCAACCATCATGGTCATGGGATTAGAGTATTGAGAAATTCATGTACATATTTTATGCTATAACACAATCCACATAGGTTATGTTTTAAGGGAGAAGAGGTTTATAAATGTAAGAATATGATAATTTGGATTTATCTTGTGACCTATGACATCGTCACCAATTAAAAACCAGTAAAAGTGTATTAATCATGTCTTTAGACCTACCTGAATTTGTCATGTCAAATCCCAAATCTATTAAATTTGACTGAGTAAATATATGTATTTATTATACAAGGAGGCCTATAGCATGTACTGTTAAGATCAATAAAGGAGTTGAAAGGAGACTTTTATTTATCATAAATTTAACCTAAATTTAATATCTGGAAGGGCTCTGTGGGGTGATTTTGAAAAAATATCTTTGAGGGGATGGAGTGGTTAAGAGCACTGGCTGCTATCCCAGAGGACCCAGGTTCAGTTTGTAGCACCCACATAGCAACTCACAACCATCTATAATTCTAGTTCCAGGGGATCTGGCTCCCTCTTCTGGCCTCCCCTAAAGGGCACTGCACACACATGGCGTACAGACATACATGTAGACAAGCACCCAATACATACACCAAAAGTAAATCTTTAACACTGGGGAAAAGGTAATAGAGGAATACACTAGATTTTTAAAATTTTTGTTTTGCTGGAAACATATTTACATTGATTTAGTTGATCTTGAAGCTACCCTCAGAATAGTGATTATTTTTGTTATATTGATGGTGAGAATAATGTGGAAAGTAAGAGATGACACTGTAATTTTTGCTTTAAAGCATATTTTTCAGATGGTAGAGAAACAGAAAAAAATTAAATGTCTCACCTGTTGTATTTTTCATAATCCATGCAAGTGAATGTGTGTTCATTATGGGTTCTGAATTTTGAGTAATTTAGTTTTCTTATTTCTTTAAGATTGAGATAATTTTTCTCCCAGATAGCTATGAAATGTTTTTATCCTTGGATTTAGAGTTTAAACATTTTTTTAAAATTATAAAAACCTTAAGAATTCATTTCTGAATCTGTTGGGACTGAGATGAGAGACCTAAGTCTGAAGCTCTCACACGTGAGTTTCTATAAGTGAACTATCTTTAAGCTTCCATGCCTTGGTTTGTGAAGACAACTTTGTAGGGAGATTGGCTCTGTCTTTTGCTGGGTGGAAGCAAATCCTGCCTGGCCACTGGGCTCTGCAGTCTCCTTTAAAGGTCTAGTCCAGGGCTGAAGAGCTGACTCAGGTTAAAAACATGTACTGCTCTCCCAGATGACCTATGCTCCATTCCCAGCACCAGTGTCAGCCAGCTCACAGTCACCTAATTCCATGTCAGGGGATTTGATACTTTTGCCACTTGTGTATACCTACTCACATGCAGGAATACACACACACACACACACAATTTAAAGGTAATAAAAATAGTTCACTAAGTAATCTAACCACCAGTTAGCCCACAGATTGACCAGTTATCCTGCCAGTGGCAGACAATGCCATAATAGCTTCTCTCTCTCTCTCTCTCTCTCTCTCTCTCTCTCTCTCTCTCTCTCTCTCTCTCTCTCTGTGTTATAGCCATTCCCTAATCTGACCTTATGTTGACAGTTCCTTATGCTAGACAATTACTGTGATACCCTTGACTTTCTAGAGACAGGTGAGCCACATAGCACGGCCTCTTGTTACCAGAAATGTGGGGGTGTCCTGCTACAGTCGCCATATGTTACCAGGAAATCAGGATCCCCTCTTGGGTGCTTAGTCTCATTAATAAGTAAATTTAAGAGCAGATTTAAGCAGAAACCCTAGGACTGTTTAATTAGCATTTAAAAGAAAAATTCCAAGCAGGCAAACTATAATTCTTGGCACCTGCCTAGATGTGGGAGATAATGAGGAGACCATGGCATCTGAGTTGAGTGGGCATGGAGGTCAGACACATGATGGACAAGGGGCCATGCCAGGGAAGGAGCTATAGGAAAATTGTGAGAAATCCAGAGTACCAGGGGAAGCACACGTGCTCTAGTTAGCATCTGGAGGCAAAACAGCAGAAAAAGGAGAAGTTATGCTTTTCTAAAGTGGGCAGATCTAGCAGAAGCTCCCAGGGAGACCTATAATGACTGTACAGGAGCAAGGATTCTGGGAAGGAAGAGTATATTGTCTTATTAAAGGGATAATTATCCCTCCCACCTCTTCAACATGGCTGAAGGTGAACCTGTCTTCCTGAGGGGGTGGGTCATTCATTACCTGCCCAATTGGAGGAGACAATGGCATGTTTCCATCCAGAGGTAGATTCCACAATTTATTTATTTATTTTATGCCTGGTGCCTGTGGAGGTCAGAAGAGGGCATCAGGTTCCCTGGAATGGGAGTTAGGACGGTTGTGAGCCGCCTTGTGGATGCTGGGAATTGAACACAGTTAAGAACAAGTGCTGTAAACCGCTGAGCCATCTCTCCAGCCCCAGGTACACGCCATTCTTTTGGCTTGGAGGTAACAGCTCTTAGTGAGCCTCCAATGCTACTCTACCACCATTGACAACAGGAGGTCTCCTTGCTCTAGCCTGACTATACCTCTTGGATTATTACAAACCTCACTTGATAAATTGTCTTTGATGTTCATGTTGATGCCTGGCTGTGCTCAAGGCCAGTTAGGGGTTGGACAGAAGCTGTGTGAGCAGGTCTTCCCTTTGCAGTGGCAATGAGGAAGGGAAGCAAGGAATTGGAGGCCGCCTGTGACCCACAGCACACACTGGGTGGGGCCCCCATCAAAGCATAGTACTATCCAAGCAGAATACACAGATGGGGGCTAGGGTTCCTCTTTTCCTGATCTCTGGGGTAGAAGTCCTTGAAGGAACAAAAGCCAAATGGCAGTGAAGGGGAGGGGAAAAAAAAAAACAGATAAAAAACTATATTTTTGAAAAACTGAGAGTCGACCATGCTATTTCTTGTGGACCCACCTGCTTCATGACCTCCCATCACATCCGTGGAAGAGGATGAGGGTCAGAATGGCAAGGTTTAATGAACATAGAATTCATATCTTTATATCATCATGATGAACTGATAACAAGACCAACTTCAAATCTCTTAACAAGTTTACTTGTATCCCTAACCACAAAAGAGCAATGCTACTGACTTTGTGTGGATTCTGACAGAAATAGAATAGAAAATTCTTAGAACATAGCAATGTAGTGGCATCTTGCTTTGCCAGTGAACTTGTAGTGCTGGCCACACCCTTTGGGTGTGGTCTCAAGTGCAGACATGACCCATCATAAGGTAGAGGAGGGGCTCTCTCCCGGGTTGTGGAGAGAGAGCATCGGAAGGACAGAGACCGCATCTCCTGGAGCAGGGAGACCACAGAGGTTATTTGCTCCTATCTGTGTAAGTGCTGCCTTAATAAGCACCTACTTATCATTTATCTTGGGTCTGGTGGACTCATTTAAACCCTGCCTTCATAGCAAAAAGTATTTTACTTTTTTTTTTTTAACTGTAGGGAGTATTATGTTTTGACACCATTTGAAGTATGATACCCCTCAGTGACTTCTCTTGCGTTATAGGGTCTTCATTGTGTGATGTGAGTTGTCAGGAACCCTTAAGTGTTTTCTCTGCCTCGTTCTGCCACGCCGTCGTACGGTGCATACACATGTCTCACATTCCTGGAGTAGGCAGTTTCCGTTCATCACCATAGACGGGGTGTGACATGGTCTCCTGTGGCTTCTAATTAAAATCGTTAAGTGCGATTTCCTCAGCTATTAGCTTTTTCTCAGCTTTTCCCTAGGTCTTAAAAACAACACTATTGTTTTCAAAAAAAAAAAAAAAAAAAAAAAAAAAGGAAAAATCTTTCCCGCTGTGATCTTGTCCAAGGGAAGCAAATCTTAGTGACTGTATTAGACAATGTCATAGCTGCCACCTCTGATGAAACAGGCTTCAGGTACAGGCACACAACTCAGTTCCTTACAAGGCGAGGCTTGCATTAAAATGCCCCCAGTTGGAAGGCCACACTAATCGGACAAGGTGATTAAATATGAATTAACTGAAGGGAGTCATGTGTTCCCTCACTCTACCTGGCTGTTGAATGGCTGAATATGTTCCCGATGTTGTTTTGACCAGCCAGGAGGGATGGTTTTCCTGCTTAGGGGCACTTAAGTCTTCAAAAGCGAGAACTTTGCACACCTGTGTGTCCCTAACACTCTCTGGGGAAGAAAAATACCACCAGGACTTCCCTTTTGTGGTCACTGAATTGTACCTGGAGAGAAAAGGCCCATTTGCCAGTTTATAATAATAAATTCCTCAGAATCAGAACAGCCCGTCACTCTTGACTATGTTCACATTGATGGATTGAACGTTTATAAAATGTTCAAATGTCACTTGTCACACGAGGCAATTTTGCAAGTTGATTCATAGGGGTAAGATGGGTTATTCTGCTGTCCCTTAGAGTGAGATATGTCTTCCACTGCATCTAGAAAGATTCATACTACCCGTGCCATTGGGATTTCTTCCTCTTTTTTTTTTTGAATAATAAATTTTTACTCTGTTTCAATTTAAAATAACTCTATGGCAAGCTTCCTTGATTCAGTATGATTTTATTCCATGATGGGAAGTCCATCAGCTCATGTGTTTGAACATGTGGCCTAGCTGAGTAACACAAGTTCCAGGCTCAGTGAGAGACCCTGCCTCGGATGATATAAGGCAGAGGGTGATGGATGAGGGCACCCCAAGCCCTCCTCCCACCTCTGTGCTGACAGATGTGCACATCACACACGTGCACGCACACATGCCTCACATAGTGCATATCCACACATACATACAAAACACATTTTATATGTATTTTATTTTACGTATGTGAAGGTTTTGCCTGCATGAGAGTATGTGTACCTGATGCCCAAGGAGGTAAAAAGAGGGCATCATATCCCCTGTAACTAGAGCTACAGGTAGTTATGAGCCACCTTGTAGGTGCTTGGACCTGAGTCCCGTACAAGAGCAGTCAGTGCTCTCAACCACTGAGCCATCTCTCTAGCTTCCAAAAATATTCTAAGAATCCATTTATGGAGAGGTAAATGAAAGGACCTTTTGGAAAAAGAGAAATGATTCACAATTGATCTGAACAAGGCAGTATTGTGAACAATGCTTTATTACATGGGGGTAAAATGGATGCGTGCACCCGGGGCTGCCAGCAAGCAATACTTCAGGTAGAGTGGTCGGTCCCATGGCCGGCAGCAGACGACACTGCCATTCCCTTGGGTACTGGGCAAGCACCAAGTCTGGGGACACTAAGGAAGAAGTTGCTTCTCTGCAGGGTCATGCTGCCCGTGTCAATGTTCATTTCTTTCTGTGGCATGCCTGTGACAATCCCCTCCGCTGTGTTTTCAGTACCCATTGTAAAGAAGACGTGGGCGGCACAGGCAAGCCTTATCGAATACTACAGTGACTATGCAGAAAGTCCCATTCCCACTGTGGACCTGGGGGTTCCCAATACGGACAGAGGTGAGCCCTGAATTCTTACTATCCCCTGGGTTTAAAATCCCAGACTGTGTACATTCAGCAAGTCAGGATAAACCGAAATCTAAGCACTAGGATTTCTTATGTTAGTTTTTCTTTTTCTCTGTTTCCACTGAGCATCTTTACCTGTAGATACATACAGGCTCTCACATGGGACTTTTAGTACAAACAGAAGCTCTGCATTTTGGGTAGGATATGATGCACCCTAGCATTGAGCTCGTGACAGTCACAATACAGATGAATGGTAGTGGTTTCTCAACTCCACAGTTTGTCATGACCAGAACGGGAGGTGACAAGTTAGTCTGTCAGCTTCCCACACACAGCTTGTGTCATCCCAAGTCTCTGGTCTAGTTCATACTTTGACTTTCTGAGCACCTGGCACATTCTTGTAGTGCTCAGATATTCAGTAAGCGGTGTCTGTATTTTGATTAGAGTGTGCTTCTGAGTCTATCTGGTTTTCCTTCCAGATGGGGGAGTTTACTAGTGGAAAACACTTTGGTTTGGTTTTGGGTTGGTCTCATGTAGCCCAGGGTGGCCTTTAAAGCCACTGTGCTGGATCCTGCTGCATCCACCTCCAAGTGCTAGAATTATAGGCTTTGCCTTAGAGTTTCGGTTGCTGTGATAAAGCATCATGGCCAAACACCTTAGGGAGGAAAGGGATTAATTCAGCTTACATGAGAATTAGGGAAGGCTAATTTCTGGGAAAATTTCAAGTTATTATTGTGCTTGTCAGCGTTCAGGCTTTTCCATTACTTTAAAACTAAACTAACAGGGCTGGAGAGAGGGCTCAGGGGTTAAGAGCACTGATTGCTCTTCCAGAGGTCCTGAGTTCAATTCCCAACAGCCTTACAGGAAATTCATGCAGAACACTGTATACATAGTAAATAAACAAAGCTTTAAAATAAATAAATAGACTAAACAAACAAATAAATGTATGCTGTATATAGCAAATAATACACTTACAGTTTTCTTCTTACCTTTCCTAGGTCATTGTGGGAAAACCTTTGCCATTCTGGAAAGATTTTTGAACCACAGTCATGACAAAGTGGCATGGTTAGTCATCGTGGATGATGACACATTAATCAGGTAAGAGCCCTTCTCATCCTAGGACTGGCTCTAACTGCTATGGTAGGCATGTCTGCTCTGCGCAATGAGAGCAGCAGCAGCAGCGATGGAATGGTTTTAAGATCCTGAACATCTGGCAATTTGAGGCAGGTCACTGTCCCTCTGACTGCCTTCTGGCCTTGCTCAGTCATTGTTAAGGGGGAGAAGGCACCAGCTGGGAACCTACACACAGTTTATGTTAGAGAGTTGGATCTGAGAGTCTCAGGAGACCAAAGCTGTTAGAGTTTGCAGGACCTAGAACTAGAAACAAATGTCCAAAATGACATCCCTGGGCATCTGCAGAGGGAGGGCCCTCCTCAAGTATTCAGTACAATAGAATGTCTGTGTGTGGAAGCTTCTACATGCTGAGACAGAACCCACCAAAATGATGAGAGGGAATGGCAGTGGGCACTCGTGCAGGGCTGGGCATGGTCCCTGTTCTCACTGGGCAGAATGAGGCACCATAACTCGGTGACACTGTCCCAGAATTGATATCTAATTGTTATCATTAGTTATTATATTGTTAGTAAATAATCACAACTATTTCCAATGTCCAGAGGAGATGCATGGAAGGTATACTACAAGTTTGAAACAATCTTATAGACATGAAAACTAATATCAGGGATTTTTTTCTTTTGTTTAGCTTTTATTTTATTTTTTGTTTCTTGAGACAGGGTTTCTCTGTGTAGCTTTGTAGATCAGGCTGCCATCAAACTCACTGAGACCCTCCCGTCCAGAGTGTTGGGATTAAAGGTGTGCCCCACCACTGCCTGGCTATTATCAGGGATTTTTAAAAGCCTTTTGAGCAGTATTAACAGCAAGTTAGACATTGCAGAAGAAAAATATAGGAATTCAACAATATGGCAATAATTAATAGCCAACCCCCCCAGAGACTGCGGGGGGGTGTTATAAATAATGTTATTGCTTAAATATATTGTCTTAATGTTTTAATTTCAAGTTATGATAATTAAAGTTACTATATATTTTACTTTTTTTAAAGATTCATTTATCTTATTTTATGTTTGAATGTTTTGCTTGAATCTATGTATGTGGACCACATGCGTGCAGTGTCCATAGAGGGCGTCGATCCCTGGGAACTGGAGTTACAGATGTTTGTGAACCACCATGTGGATGCTGAGAATCAAACCCCAGTCTTCTGCAAGAGCAGCCAGTGCTTTTAACAGCTGAGCCATCGCTCCAGTGCCCGCTATGTATTTTCACATAGAAGTCTCAGTGTAGTCTAGCTTTCATTTCTCTTGGTTAAATATGTAGGAGCAGGATGGCTGCTTTTTTAAAGAAAGGTATCGTGTCAATGTTAAATTTCCTGAAGATGAGGACTTTTTCTGCCCCTAAGAGATATACAGTGGTGAAGGGTGTAATGTATGCACTTTCAGGAGAGTGTTTATGTGTGTGTGTGTTTTTATATATACTCAGAGGAAAGCTTGTGAACGAGACACTAGAGTAAATGGGAATAATTGGTTAATCTCGGGAAAGGCTATTTGGGGGGCTTTTATCCTTTTTTTTTTTCTTTTTTGTAACTTTCCTATAATTATAGCATGTGACACCATAATAGGGCAGAATGGAGCATCCTCTGGCATTGCAAGGTCTGTGTTCTGCCCATGAAATCTGCCTGCACTGCCAGGCTGTACTCGTCCACCAGGGGTGTGCTGGATAGAGAGCATGGACGTGCTGTTTTCCTACTTGTCGTAGGCTCAGAAGTGCTGAAATGGGAACAGATTGTTATGTGAAATGCTTTCCCTGGGCCAAATCCCCATAGATGGAGTTGAAGTCTATCTGCTTCATCCACATTCTTACTCCTCAGTGAATGTGAAGTGGGTGATAATTACCAGCCTCCATTTGCAGCCCCTGAGCCTTGCAGCAGGATGTTGAAAATGAGAATCATCTGTGTTATAAGGAAAAGAAGCCCAGGGGAATCTTAAATTACTTTAAGCTTAAAATACTGAATGTTGTAGGTGGAATTGATAATTTCACAATATGTGGGGAGAAGAGAAAAACAATTATTTCCATTTTTAAATTTTTGCGATTTAAAAAAATTTTTTATTTTATGTCTATGAGTGTTTTGCCTGCATGTGTGTATGTGTACCACATGCATGCAGTGCCTGCAGAGGTCACAAGGGGGCGCTGAATCCTCTGGACCTGGGGTTAAGTGGTTGGGACTTGCCATGTGTATGCTGGGAACCAAACTCAGGTCCTCTGCAAGAGCAGCCAGTGCTTAATTGTCGATCTACCCCTCTAGCGGCCCCTGTCTTTTTAAGCTCAAGAAATACTTGTTTGCCCTAGAAAGTTTGGGGGATTTTAGTCTCTTACAAACTGAACCCTTAGAAGTTTCAATGTGTGGGTCCTCCATTGGCAAATACAGTCAGCCTCCCCTTACAGATTAACTTCTCTGATGGCTTCTTGAAGACAGATTCCAAATTCAGTGCTTAGGATGTGTGTAACCTTCATTCGGAAGAGCAGAATGTAGAAGGGTAGTGCTTTCTGCTCAATCAGAAACTGCCAACGTCGGCAAAGGCCGTGGACTCCAAACATTCTAAACCTGCCTGCCAACTTGCAAGGCCTTGGAACACATCCTTGTATGGAGAGTTTGTGGCTGCTTTTGTCTTGTCTTTATACAGTAAAATCGCTTTCCCCACTCCAAGCTTCACATTTATTTATCTGTCTGTCTATCTATCTATCTATCTATCTATCTATCTATTATTTTTGTAGTGTCTAGAAAGGGTGATAGATCCATCATTTTTGTGTGTTTGGCCTTTTCTTCCTTGTCAACTCTCCCCAGGTGAGGGACAGCCAGTGTCTGGGAACCCTGCTAACCCTATTCTCATTCTGTAGTGTTATGATGCCTGTGTCACTCACCTGAGAGCCCTTGAGCTCATGGAGTAGGGTCTCAGAGGCCCTTTAACATGTTAACCCAGAGTCATGGGCTATTCAAAAATTAGTTTTAAGGATCACTGGTCAGTGTTCTAAGGGAAAATGAACACTTGCTGGTGGGTGACCTGGAAATCTCTAGAGTAGGGGAGGCATTTCTAAATGTTATCATTGGATTCCTTTTCTCTCCTTCTCCTCTCTCCCTTCCCTCATCTTTGTCTCCTTCCCTCCCTTTGCCCCCCTCTCTCTTCCTTCCATTCATCTTTCTTCTCTAGCTAATCTAGAACTCACTGTGTAGACCAGGCTGGCCTCAAACTCTCAGAGATCTGCCTATCCCTGCCTCACAACTGCTGGGATTAAAAGCGTGGCCCACCACACCCAGCTCAGAATGGTCTAACGCTTAAAAGCAGGGGAGCTCTTGCCTTTGTTACATGGACCTGTATGTTGGCTTTTAAAAGTGAGTTTTATGCCTCCCCCCCCCCAATGATCTGGTTTGTTCACCTCACTGCAGCTCTCTTTGCTGCGTTTGAGCATTCTCACTGGCCTCTGCTAGCTGCCACTGTTGACCATTCAAGGACAGGTGGGCTCCCAAAGTATTCAAGGGATTCACATGTAGACCATAGCTCATCCCCCGGAAGCCTTGTTGAGGAAAGCACAATCGGAGATTTGTGGGGGAAACCGTCTAGCCTTGCTCTCTTCCTGCCTGCCCCAGCCTGAGAGTAAACCCCCAAGCCCATTTGCCCTTGGGAAGCTCTTTTTTGCCCATCAAGAGTTAAAATAACCTTGTCCATTTGAGAAGAGGGGAGGTTTGAGTGACACTCACTTGGAAACAGCTTGGTAGAGGAGATTCTAGCCATCTGACCACCTTCTGTCGTTCACCTGTGCCTGGCAGGGCTGAGTTCAGGTTGGATGCAGGGTACCTCTGACTTCTTGCCTTCTCTTCTAATGTACAGTGTTCATATTTTTGGGGGAGGGGTCTTTTAAAATCCATTTCTTCTACACTTGAATTTCACCTCTAAATGATTTATTCTGAAGTTAAATGAGCCTCTCTTTGCGTCTCAGCATCTCCAGGCTCCGACATTTGCTTAGCTGCTACGACTCCAGTGATCCAGTGTTTCTGGGTGAGCGCTATGGCTACGGACTGGGCACAGGAGGCTACAGCTATGTCACAGGAGGAGGCGGGTGAGTGAGTGCGGTGAGGGGGTGGTATGGATACAGCCATCTCTTGCCTCTCTGTATCTCTATTTACCCCTGAAGGGTAGGGTTCAGGAATCCCTGTAGGTGCTCAAGGCCTCTAGATAAAATGTGACATTGGTGTGTGACCTGTGCCCACACTCCTGCAAACTTAAGTCCATTCCTGGTCACTTCTAATACATATTACAACGTAAATGCTATGGAATTTCCTCTTTTGAGGTGAGGATCTGAGTGTGTGGCTTCAGCAGGCCTAGAACTCCTCCTCTTCCCTCTGCCCCCAGAGTGATATAGGATAGCTAGCGTGTGCCATTATGCCTAGCTAGAAATAGTTTTTATATTGTGATCCTTACTGGATGATGAAAAGGATAAAACTCAATGTTTTTTTCCCCATCGGTGTTTGATGAAGTCTACGGATGTGGAACCCATGGGTGCAGAGAGAACTAACTGTAGTTTAAACATTGGATTTTTCTTTCTGCACATGCAGACTTGGCTTGCAGTGCTGAGGCCTGTTCTGACATGTGGACTTTTTAGGTGGAGGTAGTTCCTATAACAGAAAAATAAACTTTACATCTGAGAAATATGAACAGAACTCAAGAGTAAGGAATAGCTTATCCTTTGATGGAATAATATAAAATGCAGGTCAGCATACTTGGTAGGAATCTCCCTGGAGTTAATGCCTGATTCTAGATGACCAACTAGTTTTGACTGTCATGTTAGATGGGGAAAAATGCTTATAGATTTTAATTTCAGAAAAAAATAAATCATTAAACTTTTAAATTATCCAGTGCTTAATAAATCATATTTGATGAAAGAATATGGAATCTTAGATTTAGGCAATTAAATAGTATTTGTATAGGATATATAGGTTTTAAATAATAGCTAAAAAAAAAAAAAAAAAGAAGAAATCAATTGTTTTAGATGAAGCACCTGCCTGAACTCTATGGGGAAAGATTTTAATTTGATTTTTTTATGGGCAAATCAATCGAGCAGTTTGTCTTTTCTGTTATTGCTGCAGTCTTTACTATTTGGTATTAAGGAGGGCATTAACTGGTTACCATCCACAGGTATTCATGTTCACTGTGTGCCAAGCAGTGTCATAGAAAGTGTAGAAGCATTGGAAGGCTTTTCATTCCTATTTTATTTTGCCTGGGTTTGGAATGCTCCTGTCCCAGTCCATTTTGCCCATTACTGTAACAAAATACTCGAGCCTGCGTAACTTTCACCACTAAGAGGGTTTTCTAGTTTACAGTTTTAGAAGTCTAAAAGTATGGCCCTGACTTCTGCTCAGCCTCAGTGGCCGCCTTCTGGCAACGTCACACGGAGGATGGCATGGTGACTGGAGCAGAGCATGAGGGAGAAAACAGGCTGAGACAGGAAGCAAGAGAAGTCCAAGGGGCGGCTTCTTCCTTTCTGATAACCCAGTAGCCAGTCAAGAGGAAGCTTCCGCCTCGTTACCAGAGTGTAAAGTGCAAAGCCCAGCATGTATCCAGGTTCTTGAGCCCCACCTCCAATTTGGCATGCGTCCTTTGGACATTCTAGCCTCATATGTGTGCACTCCTATCCTAATGGATCCATGTTGAACTTGTTGCAATTTCCCAGAAACACTGCTTTTTCTTCTCTTTGAATATGGTCCCAGTAAAGCATCGCTCCCCAACCCAGCTTCCTATGTGGCCAGTTCTCCTTATAGATTCAGTCCCTGTCATTCTCCACTCCTGTGGCAGCAGTGTGGACCAGCCCCTGTGGTCGGGTCCAATGCTTCTCTAACACACTTGCACAGTGCACTATGTACTCCATTACCATCTAGTTGCCGATTTACTCTCTTTTTTCCCACTTAGGTTGTACGTTATTTGTAGACAGCACCTGTGTCCTACTTCTCATTATGGTCCCACTTTGTAGCAAAGGGACTCATTGCTTTTCAAGGTACAGAGAACCTGTAAATAAAGAGACACCAGACACTGGCATTTAATTTCCTCGTAGATGGCATGACTCATACAAGGTTTGGTTTTTTTTAAAAAAAATGTTCCTTCATTGAGATGCAGAAGTAATAGTCACACGGTGATCCCTCTAGTCAGTCCTCGAAAAAAGGTACAGACAATATTGTGTACTTTGCCCAGGGCCACTTAGGATTTTCTAAGAATTTGACTGAAGAAGTAATTGTTTTTAAACAGTAGGTTAGGGGCTAGAGAGAGGGCCTAGAGGTAAAGAACACTGACTGCTCTTGCAGAGGACTTGGCTCACTTCCCAGCACCCAAATGGTGGTTTATACCCATCTGTTACTCCAGATCTGGGGCCTCATTGGCCCCACATACATACATACATACATATATACATACATACATACATACATACATACATACATGCAGGCACTCAAGCATACACATAAAATAAAAACAGCTACTGAGTCATCTCCCCATCCCCCACTGTTTTTAATATTTAAAAGTGGGCTGATGGAACACTCAAGTGTTCTTTCCGATCAAGTTGGGATCAGTCACTTTCCCTGCGGTGGTCAACTTTATCCAAAAGACAAATTTTGCTAAAGCCAGTGTGTACTTAGTAAGTGTGAATTATCTAACGTATAAAATATTACCAACAGGAATTTCACACTTAGATTTTATCTGCCTGTAGTTGGTCTTCCAGGAGCCAACCACAATGAAAGGATATATATGTATATTCTCATTCTGCTGGAGCTGCAAAAGAAAACAAGAAAGTATTTTGGACACTTCGCTCACATAAGCCTTTCCCTCAGGCTTGGGGGCAACTAACTATAGCTAGCTATCTGTGCTGGAGTTTGACAGGGACCTGAAAGCATGTGGCCCTGGGGTCTCACTGGCCATGTTTCTTTTCTTTTCTTTCTTCCTTTCTTTCTTTCTTTCTCCCTTTCTTTTCTTCTTCTTTTTTTTAATTTTGCTTTTTTTTTTTTTTTTTTTTTTTTTTTTTTTTTGAGACAGGATTTCTCTGTGTAGCTTTGGAGCCTATCCATGGCACTCACTCTGTAGGCCAGGCTGGCCTCGAACTCATAGAGATCTGCCTGCCTCTGCCTCCCAAGTGCTAGGATCAAAGGCATGCACCATCACTGCCCGGCATATTTCTAAGAAAGGTCTTTCCAGTTTGCAAACTTGTAGTTTCTTAGTGTATGTGGTTGACAGGAACTTTACATATATGTGTGTGTGTGTGTGTGTGTGTGTGTGTGTGTGTGTGTGTGTTTCTTTATATATCATCTTATAAAGAACTTCTGTTTTTGTTGTTGTTGAGTCATCTGGCAGTTCAGCAAGACCAGCAGCACTGTCATCCCCAGCATTCACTATTGTCCCTGATGTTTACTCTGTTGTCCCCAGTGTTTCCACTGTCAATCCCAGCATTGCACTGTTGTCCCTAGGATTTGAACTATCGTCCTCCCCAGTGTTTGCACTGCAGTTCCCTACATTTGTCTCAGGCATGCAGCCTTTGCCTCTGGTATTCAGCAGACCCCAGTGAGGTAGAGAATCACCATTTTTAATCAGTGTCTTCCAACTTCCTCCAGTGCTCTGCTAGGTGGACTGGTGGAAGATCTTTGCAAAGGAGGATTTTCTGGGTTGTTTTATACCTTGAACACCTACTGTGTGCACGCATTGGGGATGGGAAGATGTGTGTGGATTTTAGTTCAGCTGTGTTACCTTTGAGGCTTTACGGTCTGAAGAGGACTTTTACTGCTGTGGGACCAGAAGGGAAACAAAAAAACTCATTTCTCTTTTAAAAAGAATTTATCACAGGACAGTAGTTTTACCTCGAGGTCACCAACCATAGAGAACTCCTGCTGCCAGGGATGGGTGCATTCTCTCCGCCCACGGCTGCTGTGGGATCTTGATGCTCAGATACTCTATTCAAAGCACGTATAGGGATTGGCTCCCTAGATACTCTGGAAGAATGAGTGGCTGCCTCTGCAGCACAGACCAACAGGGGCAGCAGCTAACAGTCTTCCCTCAGTCTTGGGCCCCCTACTGTCAGATGAATCAAGAACTCAGCTGTCAGGGGAAGCCCAGGAAGGTTATATGAAAACACTTTGCTGCCCAGGATGCTGAGGGAAGCATAGAAAGACCATGGTGAGGCTGAAGTTTCTCCTAGGAAGTAAGTCCCTGCATCCCAGGCCAAATGGTGTCACAGCACTGTTCAAGACAGGTCACACTGTGTCCACCCCTGCAATAGTTACTTTTCTGTTGCTGTGACAAACACCACAACCAAAAGCAACTTGGGGAGAAAAGGGTTTATTTCATCTTACAGCTTGCAGTCCATCATGAAGGGAAGTTGAGGCAGGAACTGATGCAGAGGCCATGGAGGGTTGCTGCTTACTGACTTGTTCCCATGGCTTTCCCAGCCTGTTCTTATACAACCCAGGACTGCCTGTCCAGGGCTGTCACTGCCCGCAGTGGGCTATCCTTCCCATATCAATTATTAATCAAGAAATGCCCCACAGACTCTTCTGAAGGCCAATCTGATAGAGGCATTTTCTTAGGTGGGTTCTCATTCTAGTTGATTCAATTATGTGTCAAGCTGACAAAAAAGCGAAGTCAGGAATGTCAGAAAAATATCACCTCATAGTGTTTGTTTATAGGAAATGCACATACAACTATCTACTAGGTAAGTAAGTGGAGTATGAAACTGTTCTCTCCAGTGCAGTCAACGAAGTGTGCCCATGTCAATAATGAGTGCCATTCTCAGGAGTGTAGCCTCTAACTGAGCCGAAGCCCCCCATTCAGGTTACCTGGCTCCATGGCTCTACTCTAACTCCTTTTTCTGTCTGCTTTCACCAGCATGGTCTTCAGCAGGGAAGCCATCCAGAGACTTCTTGCCAGCAGCTGCCGGTGCTACAGTAACGACGCTCCCGATGACATGGTCCTGGGAATGTGCTTCAGTGGGTTGGGAGTTCCTGTGACACACAGTCCCCTCTTCCATCAGGTGAGAAAATGTTTCTGTTCTCGTCACAGGGGGAGAGTCCCTCTCACTTAGACTGTCTGTTTCTTTCTCCTCTCACTTTTGGAAATAATATTAAGGACTAGGAAAAGTTCCACGGGGGAACGTTCTTTTTATTTTCAGGCATGTGTATGTGTTTTGCTTGTGTGTGTGTGTGTTGTATGTGCCTATGCCCACAGAGTTCAGAAAACAGCATCCTATCCTGTGAACTCAGAGTTATGGATGGTTGGGAGCTGCTGTGTGGTTTCTGGGAACTGAACTTGGGTCCTCTGGGAGAGCAGCCAGTGCTCTTAACCGCGGAGACATCTCTTCACCCCTCCCAGGAGAGAGGTCCTTACCAGATCTTGTACTTTTCATGTGCATCCTAAAGATGAGGCAACAATGCCTAGAAAACCAAGTGGCATTGGACCAGTGGGCTTGCAGGTAGCACTAGGAAGCACACATTTCCTCCCTTTCCTCCCCTCATTCCTCCTCCCCTCCGCTCCTCTCTTCTCTCCCCTTCCCTCTCCTCTGCTTCTCTTTTCTCCTTTGGGAAGAGAGACAGAGATATATCAATATATCATTTCCCGGGGGACAGGAAATGAGAACCCATGGATGTCAGCCAGAATTGCTGACCTTGATAGGAAACAAGAACTTATGTCTTTTCAGGCTGGATGCTATCAGGTAGATGTAAGTTTATGGTATCCTCGGTTTTTATTTTGACTTGTTGAGTTTTTATGGCTTCTCTCCTTGGTTTACTTTAAACAGGTGACTAAAGTCCACTAAATGTCAAGGTGGTGTCTGACTGTATTTCCCAGATTATAGAAAACCAATAAAATGATTACATTAGCCAATAAAAGGATAAGATGGCATTTATAGGCGTGATGGTTTTTATAAATTCTTGATATGAATTTCAGAGTTGAAAAGGGGAATTCTTCTCAATAATTTTAGTAATATTTTAAGAACCTTAGTCAACTAGTGTTCTAAAAATTATATATATGTATATATAAAAATTTATATATATGTATATATAATTTATAATTCACATCCATTTAATGTACATATGTCCTTTATAAGAGCTATGAAGCCTTTTGAAATTTGAATATGGACACATGTAAATTTTAAGTCCCACCATATATCCTAAATACAGCCTCTGTGCTTTTTAAATTATTTAAAATTATTATTACTATAATGTATATGAGTGTTTTGCCTGCACGTGTGTCTGTGCTCTACCTGTGTGCAGTACCTCAGAGGCCAGAAGAGGGCGGTGGATCCCTAGGAACTGGAGTTACAGATGGTAGTGAGCCACCATCTAGGTGCTGGGGATTGAACCTATGTCCTCTGCAAGAGCATCACGTCCTCTTAACCACTGAGCTATCTCTCCAACCCCTACCTCTGAGTCTCTCTCTCTCTCTCTCTCTCTCTCTCTCTCTCTCTCTCTCTCTCTCTCTCTCCCTGTTTTTTCTAAAGCAATAAGTAGCAAATATTAGCACGGCACTATAGAAAATTGAACGTGGCAGAATTTCACTATAGAAAAACAACTCGAACAAAGCATTGGCAACAGAGATAGAAACCATATTGGTATCTGGGAAAACACAAGGAGGTTAGGAATAAACCTTTGAAAAAGGAAGCCCACAGGAACCCCACTCCTGACCCCCCCCCCAGGGGAAGGCACAGGAAGCTCACAGGAACCCCACTCCTGGTCCCCAGGGGAAGGCTCATATGCACCCATACCTCAGAAGTCTTTCCCGTTTAAGTCAGTGTCTTATGCTATCTTTACGATAACTCAGAAAGTGAATTATGCTCTGTCCCTCCCTCTCAGATTCTATGTTATGATGTTTTATGTCACAACGCTTCACTCCTGGAAAAATAATTAAAACTGTTTGGGTATAAGGGAAGTAATTTATCAAGATTAATTAAATTTTTCTATTGAAGCCCCTTCCTCCTAGGATAAAATACATTAGTCAATAAAATCATAAGAAAGAGAGAGGGAAAGATAATGTTAATCGCTAAGTGAAAGTACTTTGAAGATAATTCAGAAATGATTATGCCTTTAGAATTATGTGTCAGTCCTCATGGTGTTTTCTCTAATCTACTCCCCATGGTAACCCTGAACCCGATGTGAAGCTACAGAGTGTGTTCATAACCTGTGCCGAAACTGGCATTGCTATATCTGCTGTCTTCAGCATCTTTCCGCATGTGATTGGATTCTAGGAGGGTTTTTCATTTGCAGGGACTGAACCAAGATCTCCACACTTTATTCGTGCTGAGAGAATCTAAGATGGTGTGCCCACACCTCAGATTCCCGCTATGTGAGAGATGGAGAGAGGGTCTTGGTGGCAGCACTGGCCAGGCTACCTTCTGTTTCTGTCAGGGCATATCACTATGGAATCACATAGATTTAAAAGGGGGCTATAAGGAATTTCTAGATCACCTCTTCCAAAATCTTATTTCACTAGTGGATATGACAATACGCAGTGGTCAGTAAATTCTCTGCAAAAAATACAAATATTAAACTGGACAAGGATTTGTAAAAATAAGTAATGATTTCAGGACTCTGGACATCAAGTAAAAGCTAGCAATAAATTGACAAACACTGATTTCTCTCCCCCCCAAAAAAACCACCTGCTATGTGTATTTTTGAATATGAATAATGGGATACAAGTTCTTCATGCCCAAGTCCCTGCCATTCTGCCTTTTCCCTACCCTTTCAGCTTGGCTACAAAGAACATTATTTTTACCTGTACCTCACTGGAATAAATAAAAGCTTTGCTTCAAGAAGAGATGATGTGGCTTGGGGTGGGGGAACAGATGAAAACATACAAATATGTCAGCCAAAATGGTCCGTTTTGACATGGAGCAAACAAAAATAGGCCCCATCTCCACTGCTATCCCCATAGATCAGTGTCTCGCTCAGCTATCACTAGAGAAGCGTGTTGTTATTCTTGCAGAGGACCCAGGTTTGGTTCCCAGCACCCGGCTCACAATCATCTATAATGCCCATTGCAGGGATCCAGTGCTTTCTTCTGACCTCCAATGGCACCAGGCATGCATGTGACACACATACATATACATATATGCAAACACTCATACACGTAAAGTAAAAGAATCTAAAAAAAAAAAGTGTTACATACCATTTTTAAAATGAAGACAGTTTTAATAGTATAAGGTAGTTTGCCACATAAAACAAATTGCTATATAAAATTTATAGGCAAATTAAAGATTTGCCTGACAGAAACTGGATACTTTGATTAATGCAAACAAGAACATGCCTGGTTTCCATTTTCCTTTGAACACTGTAGCTTTTGTCCTATATCTTGTCATTTTAGGGCATGTCTAATTCTGCCTGTCTTTCATTTTCTGAGTTGTAGAGAATTTGAACGGTGATGATATTAAACCTTTTTAATTTTTCTTAGGTCTAGTTCTTATTTTCATTTGTATGTCTAGACCAGGATTACACTGCCTTTCGATACAGTGAACTGATGTTTTCCTTCTTTGAAAGCTGTCACCTGGATATGTTGAAGTAGTAGGTGGCCAGGCTCTGAGAACACTTTGCCTCAGCTCCTGAATAATCCATGCCTGGTGGTTTCTCAGAAGAGACTCTGTAAATAAGTTTTTCTTCCTTTTTGTTGTTGTTGTTATTGTTTTTAACCAAAACTTATATCACACACCGAAGACTTGAATGAATCATGGAGGAAACCTTTTGTGTTTATTACCATGCTGGGACAGTTTCCCAGAAGCCAAGTGTGGGACACAGGCATAGAAAGTAAAACATTTGAGAAATTTATTAGAGAAAATAAGGCAATGAATATGGAATCTGAGGGAAAGTAGTAGAAAATATGTCCCTTCTCGCTTTAAGGGTCCCATTGTCACTATCAAATATTAAGGCAAAATAGTTGCAATATGGGTCAACGTTTATCTTGGACCAATTGTTGTGGCATGCATTTTAAATCCCAGCATTCAAGGCCAGCCTACTTTACATAGGGACTTCTAGGCTATCTTGGGCTATATAGAGAGATTCTGTCTAATAGCAAAGCAAAGCAAAATGTTATTCTGAAATAATAATTTGAAAGATTTACCTTTACTTATTGAGTGTGTGGATGAAAGATGCCATCACAGGGGCCATGCGATGGTCAGGTGAGAATTTGCTAGAATCAGTTCTCCCTGTTCCAACATGTGGGCTCAAAGGAGGATGGATCCAGATCCTCAGGCTAGACATCAATCACCTTCACCTGCTGAGCTAATCACAATGTTTTTCTATTGATAATTTTTTTTTCATACAGTACATTCTGAGTACAGTCACCCCACAATTCCTCCCAGGTCCTCTCTATCTCCCCACCCTTTCTTTCTCTGCAAAGGGATCTAAAAACAACAACAACAAAAATAAGATAAAGTAACAAACAAACAGGAAAAAAAAAAGAGCTGAAGGAAAGCACAGGAGATGCATGCAGATGTAGATATACGTATATTTGCACACACAGATGTCTCATAAACACACAAAATGGGAAAACATAGTATATAAGCAAAAGACCTGTAAAGGAAACAAACAGCCCAGACATAGCATTGAAACAAAAACAAACAAACAATAACTCTCTAAAAATAGCAATGGGTTCATTTTGTGTTGACCATCTTACCATCTTCTGTTGGGCATGGAGCCTACCCTTAAGTGGGTTTTGTATACCCAGTGAGACTCCTTTGGAGAAAACTAATTTTTTCTTTTCAAGCACTTATCAGTTGGAGATAACTTCTGGACCAGGGGAGGGAGCCTGTGCCCACTCCCTCCCTCGCACTGGAACCCTATCTGGCTTAGACCTATGCAGGTCCTGAGCATGCTGCCTGGGCTTTTGTGAGGGCATTGGTCCTGCTGTGGTTAGATGGCTTTGTTTCCTTGGTGTCTTCCCTCCCCATTGACGCTTACACGTTCTGCCTCCTCTTTTGAAGAGTTCCTTGAGCCCTGAGGGGAGGGATTTGATGGAGGCATCCCATTTGGGACTGAGTTCTCCAAGGTCTCTCTGTATTGTCCAGTTGTGGATTGTCTGTATTTGCAGGAGGGATGAGCCAATCACTCTAATCCCCAGGAAACTGTAACTCTCTGTTCTTTGTACAGGCTCGGCCAGTAGATTACCCAAAGGACTACCTCTCCCATCAGATCCCTATATCATTTCACAAACACTGGCACATTGACCCAGTGAAGGTGTATCTCACGTGGCTGGCACCCAGTGAGGAAGACAGCTCCACACAGGAGACACAGAAGGATCCAAGAGAAGAATTATAGAACAGAGCCTGGGGGAGCAGATAAAGAGATGCATTCCATCGGCTGAGCTGTGCTCCAGCTGCTTGTGTATGCCACGTGAAATAGACACTTCTCAGCCTTCTTGAACATGGGTGGACTCAAAGGGGAGACTGGGGGAAATCACTTGTTTTGATTTTTGTCGTTATTGTAACAGTGATTAATTACTGTACTTTTTTTTTGGGGGGGGATGTGACTCAACATCTTTGTTACTGTCACAGGAAATAAATGGTACCTGAATTTTCTTCATTTTTTTTTTCATTGTAATGGATATTCTAATACAAGAACGTGACTGGCTGTGATGTTATGTAAGCATTGAGTCTTTTGACATGGATATTGCCAGTGGGATGAACCTTTAAACCAGTAATTCTCAATCTGTGGGTTACGGGCCCCTTTGGGGTTAAAATGACCCTTTCACAGGGGTCACCTAAGACCTTACTTACCTTACAATTCAAAATAGTAGCAAAATTACAGTTAGGGTGTAGCAAATGAAAATAATATTATGACTGGAGGTCAGCATTAGGAAGATTGAGAACTGTTGCTTTAAAGAGTCCTATTGATGATGAAAATTAGTTCCCAGGAACTCAGTAGGAATGAGGTACTGAGGCTGATTCATAAATGTGAAATCCCGGGCTACACAATCATGGCTGTTGTGTTTTACCTTCTCTGCTGGTGGCACCCCAGAAACAGATTCAAGGCCATCTGCTGAAGTTCCTGCTCCCTTTGAAGCATGCATTGGTACCATCCTTCCGGAAGCCCCTTCCTGGAGTGAGTGTACAGAGTTCGCCAGGAGTTAGGATGCTGGGTCCACAGGTCTCTTCTGTGTCAGCAAACCTGGTGGAAATCAGGTGGGAGTCTCAGGCTATAAGTGGCACCTGGAGCTGGTGTAACTCTTGCTTTTCTCCAAGTGTTACATAGTAACTCCTTTCTGGCTCAGGAAGTCTGCACCTGTAGCTGACTCTTGCTTTTCTCCAAGTGTTACATAGTAACTTGTTTCTGGCTCAGGAAGTCTGCACCTGGAGCTGATGGAGCTGATGTAACTCTTGCTTTTCTCCAAGTGTTACTTAGTAACTTGTTTCTGGCTCAGTATACACAACCTCCACCCTGGCAGCTGCTGCATGGACCCTCATGGAAGGACAGCATGGGGTTTTTAGCAATTTCCCTGGGTTCTTAAAGAATGAGATTGGAATAAAGTGTTCTGAAGCAACCCTCATTTTCAAACCATACCTTTTAATATGTAGTAATTTAATATGTAGTAATTGAGTATTACTGTATAAAAACCATTGTGTATTAACATTTAAAGTGATTTCGTTATAAAAAGGTATTTGCATATGATTTGATCTCAAGCTCTTAAGTTTCATATATTGTAATTCTTCCCTTTATGTTTTCAACCTGTGGTTCATTAACCTTGCTTATAAGACTTCCAAACCCTATAGGTTTAAAGCAATACCACCAAAAGTCCCTGTGCATTTATTTATTTATTTATTTTTTAACAATGTGTTTTTTTCCCATGTAGCTTACTTTCGATTCATGCCCAAATTCATGCAATAGTATTTATCCTTCTTTTCCAAAATCAGTTAAGTATGAGTAGTGTGGGCCAGTGCTGTCCCTGCTGCCTCTGGTCCCCGGTGGAACACATTGGATTCAGTCTGTGGAAACTGATTTTGTGGTCCAGCCAGCAAGTAGACTGAGGACAGTCCAGTGAATGGAGATCGCAAGGGTTTCTGGGCGTTGTGCTGTTGGCTCCAGTGCCATTGCTGTTATAGCTGTGAGTGTGGCCATTGCTATCATAGTACTTACCTGCTTGACTTTGCAATAATACCCCTAGGGGACCTGACTGCTATGCCCATCCAGTGCAGGGGAGTCTTCAAGTCCCTGCTCCCCACCTCTGCTCATGAGTGTTACCAGTCAGAGAACAGAATTTCATTTGACAGGGCTGAAGCCAGCGTGTCTGAACACGAAAGGCCCTGTCAGCCTTTCTTCTCTGTTATGGTCTGTGCCTTCTTCTAGCCCTGCAGAACCCTCCCTGGCATTTTTAGATATGTGGTTAAATTTGTTTCCTTTTTTGGAACTACAGAAGCCTAACCATGAATAAAACATCTTCAGTCTCCTTCTGATTTTGCATTTTATCTATTAGTTAAGACCAGAGAGGGGGTGGGAAGGTATGTGTAGGACAGGAATTGAAAAATTGGGAACACTTGCAGATCAGTAAAACAATGCAAGCCTTGGGAAAAGGCAATAGAAATTTTAAAAACCTCAGTTTGTAAAGGTATTATATATATATATATATATATATATATATATACACACACACACACACATACATATACATATATATAGGAAATGACAGACCCTATTTAAACACCAACTGAGAATATATATATATATATACATATATATATATATATATCATCCTCTTCAATGTTCTTTTTCCCTTTAAGTAAGAATTTCTTTGCCAGTGGATATTTTTATCCTAAGGATTTAGCACCAAGGATTTATGTGTGAGTTACCTGGCAGGTCATTTTTACTTTTAAGCCATTTCTCATGACCTAGCACATTGCCCGACTATGTAGCATTTTTTTTTCCTCTTACAGCTAAATCAGAAGTCATGACACAAAAATAACTTTTGTCGAAACAAAATCACGCACCAACCTGAGTAATGATGCTATTCAGGAGCGTGTAAATGCCAGTATTCTCTGCCTGTATTGATTGATTGAAGACATTTAGTATTTCTGCATCTGTCACTGTTATTATGGATGTGTGTAGAGAACCTCAGAGATTCACAACATGGTTGACATTTGTAAGACTGCTGTGGTGCTAGCATTCATAGAGATACCATTTCTACGGAAGAAAATCAATCAATATGCCGTTAAATACGTTAAGTACGCTATATCAGGCTTACAAGGGTGTCCTTTCCTCCACTCACTACTTTGTTCCTGATGTCTTTGGATGACTGGCATGAAAAGGTGCTATTGTTCACGTCCCTCAGCCCTCTATACAAGTCACCTGCAAAATGTGTCTTTCTCCTTTCTATAGAATAAAATAAAGAAAGGCTTTGTTTATCCGATGGTTTGGCCCTTGTTGTCTCTTCAAAGGCTTGGATATTCCAGTCAGGGGAGTGAGGATGTTAGGATTAAGGGACATTGACAAAAAAGCTGGCTTCTGATACAACCACACGGTAAAGGCCATAGCAGCACTGTACTGTTGGCCAGAGCTGAACAAGGCTGGGTGAGGCTTGGGGGCTGCTTTGTAGGGGGCTAGTCAGAGAGCCTGTCTGAGAAGGTGGTATTGGGGTGAAGATTGGAAAGACTAAGGTAGCTGAAATTTAGCTAGGGGTTATAGTGTTACAAGCCAGAGGGACTAGCCATGGTGATGGCCTCCAACATGAAAGAAATGGGAACTGTTCCTCAGCCACAGTTGTGGTTGAGCCATGCAGTACAGATGATGGCTAGCAAGTACCTGGGTGTGGAAGTCAGGGGCTCATAAAGTCAGGGCTTTCATATTGAAAACCATGAACATTTAAAACGTTTATTTTTGTTCTTTTAAAGTTATGTGTAGACGTGGGTGTGTACGTGAGTATAGTGCACATGAAGGCCCATGGTGTTAGATCCCCTGTAGCTAGAACTACAGACAGTTGTGAGCCTCCTGATGTGGGTGCTGCGAACTGAACCTTGGTCCTCTGGAAGAGCAGCCAGTGCTCTTAACTCATGAGCCATCACTCCAGCTCACTACCATGAACATTTTAAAGGCATCACCAATCTCAGGAGTGGGTAGGATGAAAGCAGGAAGGAAAGAGACAACCTGTTAAGGGGACTCATTGATGTATGTTTTTATGGGGTATGTGCTGGATGCCAGGGGTGTGTGGTGAGGAAAGCCAGGGAAGGTATTTCAAGAAGCAAATGTCTCATCGTATTCGGGCTGCCAAGAGGTCCATTAAGAGGGGCCAGAAATGACTGTGTGATTCAGTGGCTTGGAAGTCACTCATGACTGGTGGACACACCCACTCCCCAAAAGTGAGACAGAATGAGAAGCAAGTACAAGTTGGAAACAATTGTGGTAAACATCTCTCTCTCTCTCTCTCTCTCTCTCTCTCTCTCTCTTTCTCTCATACACACACACACACACACACACACACACAGAGAGAGAGAGAGAGAGAGAGAGAGAGAGAGAGAGAGAGAGAGAGAGAGATCTGATCTGAGTTTGTTTAAAGGCAAGGGGAGGAAGATGGCTGAGATGTGGGGTTTGTAGAGTTTGGCTTTCATGAAGGAAAGTTCTGGAACTGTCTGTGTGATGACAGTGTTCCAGTAGAGAGTAAGGTGGACTACCCTGGCCATGTTAGTGAGTGGAACTGGAATTCATGGCTCTGTGTTTGGAGGGACCTGGCTACTTAGGAGAAGTGAAGAACGGAGGCAGCTCGAGAGCGACTGAGTGCAGTGACAGTGGATAGTGATATCTGCTCACATCTCTCACATTTGACACTCGTCTCTGTTGTGTTTAATTCTGTAATGTGGGGTGTGTGTGTGTGTGTGTGTGCGTGTGTATGTATGGAGAGAGAGATAGAGAATACATAAACATAGATATCAAGATAGTGGTTGTCCACAAGGTAAAGAAAGGGAGGAAAACTAAGCACAGAGACACAAAGGGGGCTCAAAGGTGATGCCATTTCTAGTTGTTAAACAGGTTTCTATGTACACTAGCTGCTTTTCTCTTGCTGTGATAAGACCACACACCCAACAGTGATCTATAGAAGAAAGTTTATTTGGGCCTGTGGCTCCACGGCTGTGTGGGCGGCATGGCAGCAGGTGACCGAGCAGAAAGCGGAGAGAACCCACCGTCAGCAGCAAACACAAAGTCATGAGAGTGAACCCCAGGCAGGGTGAAGCTCTGCACCCTCAAAGCCCGTCTCCAGTGACACACTTTCTCCAGCAAGGCTCCACTGCCTCGCCAAACAGTGCCACTGACCTGGGACCAAGTATTTACCTGCCTGGGGGGGGGACCATTGATGGGCAGGAGAGGGAGGGCACCTTTCCCCCACCCATGCCACCATATGGCAGATGAGGGGTGGGGCTCGGTCTCCCACACTCACAGTCTCAGGGTTGGCTTACTTGTGCCCTTGTCATGAGGGTCATCTCTGTATCTGTTTCTTGTACCTTTTGTTGGACTCCTTTCCTTCTGTTTGTTTTAGCCTATTCTGCTGCGTTAGTTTTTGTTTTACCACTTATACTATATTGTATTGTTACATTCT